GTGTATTTGGTTTTAACTCTTCTTCATTCTCTTAGTTTTTGCTTTCTCACAATTGATTTCCTTATTTTTCGTCTGTTTCTCTTTCTTTAGTTTCTCTTTCTCTGTTCTATTTCCTCACCGTAGTTCTTTTTTCTTAATGAATTGGTGAATTTATTAGTGAGCTCAAAAGAAACAGTATTTCCCATCGGACTCTTCAATGAGTAAACAACATGTGACAGTGTCATAGAGTACCCTGTATTTTTAGTTTAGTTACAGCCGTTTACAGTGTATGTAAGGATAACTAGTATCATATTTCCCGTTGGGTTTAATCAGTGTATGTAGCATCATTTTTACAGTGTATTTAAGGTACATTTGTAAATTTCTGAGAGAATTACGTAACATGACATGAAGGTATTTTGTTACGTGTATTTTACAGTGAAGTTTTACCTGGCGACATAATGTAAAAATAAAATCACGAATTCCAATGTTTTTTTCGCTTGTTAGGATTAAGACTCAGACTCTGTCATTATAACCTGACTTTCCTGGCTTTTGTACAAGTCTAGTTCGTGCAGACACACGCACATGTACTTACACACACGCGTAATTATGCAAACGCACGCACACGCACACATACACGCACACGCACGCACGCACGCACGCTGACACATAAACACGCACACACACACACACACACCTGTATATTTGCAGCCTTCCGGCTGCCATGCTCTTTCAATAAACAATTAATTATTTATTATTATTATTATTATTACACACACACACATACACACACACACACACACACACACACACACACACACACACACACACACACACATACTACAGTATATACTGTAAATGTTTAGTCATCAGCCGAACCACAACCACTTCAAACTCATAACCCTGCAGGCTGTGGTAGCTTAAACTCCTCCCCGGCACGGTAAAGCCTTACGTCTAATATCAGAAATAACTCTTTGAAGACGATGAGATAACTCCTTGATGACAATAGCTTTAAAGGGTTATAGGCTAATGGGTGCTTAAAAGATTAAAGCTAAAAATTATCCTCCTTAAGAGGTTAAATTTATCTTCCCTAAAGGGTCAAATCTAATATTCTCGTCTTTAATTAGGTTATTGTTTAAATTGTCATCCTAGAAATGCTAAAACGAAGATGAAATTCACATTCTCGTATTATACACAACTTGGGATAAACGCTTTGTACATATTAGTCTGCTGGTTCTCCTGGTGTGTGTGTGTGTGTGTGTGTGTGTGTGTATGTAAGCATGTTTTTTTTTTACGTCTCGGGTCGTGTTATTGTTGTTACTTGCTTGTTTCATCATCCATAGAATTTGCTCAGAGGAAGATTGGGGAGGCTGTTAATCTCCCTGTAGTGACGAGGGATCCAGACCCTTGTATTGCCTTATCATACGGCCGTTATTCCCAAATCTTCCACCACCATTGCTACCACCTCTATCACCACCACCACCACCACAACTGCTACTACTACCGCTACTACCACCATCATTACCACCCCAGCCATGAAACAGCTCCGTCATGGTGCCATTGAAGAGTCATGTATGGTAGCTGTGATTAATAGTCTTTACAAAAGCTTCAATACATTTTAATAAGCATTACATGTTTACAGGCACTCTTATCCTTCCCCCCTCACCAGTAGGTCGTCACTGGAGGTGGTGGTGGGTGTGGGATGGGGGGTGGGGGTGGGGGGTGGGGGGGGTGTTGTCGTCGCAGTGATATATTGAGGAATATTATCTGTTAAGGCAATATGTCAGATGTGTGTGTGTGTGTGTGTGTGTGTGTGTGTGTGTGTGTGTGTGTGTGTGTGTGTGTGTGTGTGTGTGTTACTGTATGTATGTGTGTGTTGGTATAACGTCGTCACTCTTACTAAAAAAACACGTCAAAGTTCTCCCGTATTATTCTTCCTGTCAACCTCTGAAGCATATACAATAACTTGTCCATCGTAAATGTGCTATAATTTTTACAACGGCGTGACTCTTTGTGGGGGCAAATTTGGTCTTGTGTGGAGGTGGTGTAGTACAGGTGACTCCTCCGACCTTCGGTATTTTAATGGTAAGAAAACTAGGTAATCTCTCCCACACTGTACGATGTGCAATTATTTCTTTTGTCTAAGAGCGGCGCTTGGCTGTAATTTTTCAGTTTTACGCTGGCTTAATTGGCGTTACGTTATATAAGCATTTACTTACACGCACAGTGTCTGGCACCAGCGCACACGCACACACACACACACACACACACACACACACACACACAGTTGGGAGCCTCACTCGGGTTTAGTACAAAGTCGAACGAACAAATATTATACAAATACTTCATTGTTCTCAAATATTCTTATGATAAATTTTCCTCTTAAATAAAGCAAAAACAAAAACAATAAAGTATCTACGTAATTCATATAAATACAAGTGAAAAAATAACCCATAATGTGGTATCCAAATTACTATTAGACTTTAACAAATAACTGGCTTTGTGTCACTCAACTATGAAATAATATTAATAAATAACATTTTTTATTTTTTTATTTCATTATGTATAACAGGAAATTACGTACAAGAGTAAAACATCACCGCGTAGCTAAACAATAACATTCCATAACGGGTCAAGTTTTCTGTTCAGAAGGCAACCATGATAACTTACATAAAATTGAATATTTTGTCTCTATTACATGGCATCAATAACACAATATATACAAAAGGAAAATTTAATCGGAAATTGCAAAAAAAAGTAAAAATGAAACAAAAAAATAGGTATTACATTTTTACAAACCAACCAACTCTTATGGTTTAAAAATGAACGAAAAAATATTCACAGTGCGGGAATGTTTTTTTAATATTACGTGACAACAATGTATAATTGATTGTGTGTGTGTGTGTGTGTGTGTGTGTGTGTGTGTGTGTGTGTGTGCGTGTAGGGGAAGAAGGAATTAGACGGTCATTGGTGAAGGTGGGCAGCCCGGGCCAGGACGGGGTTTGAAAGGGTTGAAATCAGACATTCATGGCATTGTGTATTGGTGCGTCCGGCCTAACTTGTTGACTCACTCTCTGTAATGGTGGGAGACCAGCCCACCTGCACCACCACCACTACTACTACTAGCATTACCACCAGTACCACGATCTTGATCCTGTATCACCACCCAGCCCACCTGTACCATCACCACTACCACCACCATCACTACTACTACCACCACCACCATCACTACTACTACCACCACCATCACTACTACTACCACCACCATCACTACTACTACCACCACCATCACTACTACCACCACCATCACTACTACTACACCATCACTACTACTACCACCACCACCATCACTACTACTACCACCACCATCACTACTACTACCACCACCATCACTACTACTACCACCACCATCACTACGACTACCACCACCATCACTACTACTACTACCACCGCCACTACTACCATTAATTTACATCCACAACACACCACCACTACCACGACGACGACCACCACCACCACCACCACACCACCACTCGTCTCATGTCTTCAGCGGAACAAAACGCGACTGTCCAACTTCTTGTCCCTCTTCAGTACCTCGAGCCAGAAGACAACACAGAGACTGTCCAAGGTCGTTATGGTGCCGATTTGGTTTCCAGGTTAGTACAGAGTCTCCCAGGGTTGCTTAGAGTCTCCCAGGGTTGTTTAGAGTCTCCCAGGGTTGCTTAGAGTCTCCCAGGGTTGTTTAGAGTCTCCATAGGCTGTTTAGAGTCCCCCCAGGGCTGTCTAGAGTCTCCCAGGGTTGCTTAGAGTCTCCCAGGGATGCTTAGAGTCTCCCAGGGTTGCTTAGAGTCTCCCAGGGTTGTTTAGAGTCTCCACAGGCTGTTTAGAGTCCCCTTTTAGGTTCCCAGGACTAGGAGTCTAGAGTCTCCTCCAGAGTCTGTCTCCCAGGGTTAGAGTCTCCCAGGGTTGTTTAGAGTCTCTATAGGCGGTTTAGAGTCCCCCAGGGCTGTCTAGAGTCTCCCAGGGTTGTCTAGAGTCTCCATAGGCTGTTTAGAGTCCCCTAGGGCTGTCTAGAGTCTCCCAGGGTTGTTTAGAGTCTCTATAGGCTGTTTAGAGTCCCCCCAGGGCTGTCTAGAGTCTCCCAGGATTGTCTAGAGTCTCCCAGGGTTATCTAAGAGTTCCCCAGGGTCGTCTAGAGTCTGTCAGGGTCAAGCAGAATTTCTAAGGGTTGTTCATGGCCACTGTGGCGTCAGACCAGTAGCACCCAGTAGCCTCCCAGGGTGGCGGCCTGTACAGCATGTGGCGGTGGTCAGACGGGGCGTTAAAACCCCTTTCCTCTCCACTATGACGTCCCTCTACCCTTCCCAGCCGGACACATTTCCTTCCCCGCCACCGTTTATCACATTCGTTCTGCACCTCGGGTTTTATGTCTCTCTGTTGAGGGCCGCAGAGGCACTCGTCTCCCGCCGCATTGTTGTTCTTTTATGAAAGGGGTCGTCGTTGTCGTCGTCGTCGTAGTGGTGGTACTTGGCATAAAGAAGCTGGGTGAAGGGGAGGCGACGGAGATCTGGGTTATGTCGTTTGTGTGTCTTCAGAAAACGACCGTGGAACTCGACCCACTCACTCTCTTGACTCTTGAGGGTCTGTCGTGTCAAGAGCAGCAAAGGAGGGACTCATTCTTACTGGGACCAACACAACACTTATGGTGCGTTGTGTGATCCTTTACTTTTATAACTTTTATTATTACTGTCATTAGTATGGGATTTAACTATTTTATTAATACATGAATAAATAAATAAATAAATAAATAAATATATATATATATATATATACAGTATATGTATATACAGTATATATATATATATATATATATATATATATATATATATATATATATATATATATATATATATATATATATATATATATATATATATATATATATAATATAAGAGATATTGTGGTGCCATATGTGGTAATGGTAACTCCTCAACCCGTGTGACCACCACCTCCTCCTCCCGCAGGACCAAATGGAAGCGCCAGACGGCCGTAGGTCTGGAATTACTGGCGGAGGCTGGTAACTACGCCGCCCTACAGAGGCTTTACGGGCAGCACTACTGGCCACCCACACCCTCCCTCGCAGCCCACCTCACGCCCACCCTCCCTGCAGGTAAGACCACGCCCACAATGCCTTTATATAAGACGACACCCACCCTCCCTGTAAGTAAGACATCTAAATGTGTGTTTAATGATCAAATAATTAAAGGAAAGACTCGAGGACAGAGTTAAGCAGTATCTGGACGAGGAACTTGCAAAGATTATATGATGGGCACTGATCAAGGTGTTCTGGAACGCTATGTTTGAGACGGTGTAGGAGGGACAGAACAACAGCGACTGCCAGTGTTGTAGAGAAAGAGACACACAAGGAGGAGCAAGAAGAGCAATATATGTAGCTGGAGCAGGAGTCGTAAAGGCCCGTAGGTCAGATTCTCCCTGTGTGTGGTAAGTGTGTGTTGTAGAGGTCAGTTCGATGCCTGTAGTTCGTGGCCTTTTTTATTCATTCTACTGACGAAGGTGTTCTTGTGTTACAGGTGTGGAGGCCTACTACAGACACGTCGCTGCCGCCCTCTCCCAGCGCACCACCGTCCCACCTCGTCCCTTCCTCCCTCATGCCCTTTCCCAGGCCTCTCCTCTTTCCTCCCTCTCCCAGGCACACCTTTCCTCCCTCTCCTCTCATTACTACTCTACCCTCACCTCCTCCCTCTCACCTACAGCCTCCACATTGCCCCAGCCGCCGTCGTCTCCGCCAGCTTCCACTGCTTCACCCACACAGTCTTCCGCCCCGAGCCCGACCAGTCCATCCACTCCGCCCTCTCCGCCCTCCCACCACGAGCGACAACAGCCCTGAACTACCCCTCAGTCCCAGGGAACAACCTTTTAAGGGTATATTCTATGAACTAAGTGGAGCAACGACTCTGGTTAGATGCCCCAGATCTTGGAGTAAACACCCCAGCCTGATCTATGACGTCAGCAGCCCGCTAGTACGATAGAAAACGTAATAAATATTGATACTACTAACAATAAACAGTGAACTCGTTATTATTTTTATTAGTTAAGGAGAATTCGTTACGGAAAAATGCACAATCTTAGTAGGAAGTTACTCGTCTTAGTGACTTGTTTCACACATTCACTCGTTGTTGGAACTCTCTAAGGTAGTTCATGAGATAAACTCGTATATGTGTATTGTTTGTTTGTTTTGGTTCAACGTCTCCAAGCAACAAACACTAACAAACACTGATGATGTTCGCCTGTTTTTTATTTCCAAGTGACTTCTTAAATGAAATAGTGGAAGACACGTTGGAGCAAGGCATTTCTGCTCATAGATGTCTAAAATAGTTCAGACATCATCAACACAAGAGACAATGGAACCAGACGTTAATTCTGCTTGTTATTTTTTACTCTTCGTAGATATCTAAAGGAGTTCAGACATTATCCCTGAATGATACAATGGCACCAAAATATGTCTGCTTTTGAAATATAAGCAAATGTCTAAAACTTACTAAAAAGTTTTAGAAGAAAAACAAAGACAAACTGAAAATTACAAACCTAAAAGACTAAACTTGAATGAAAAGAAAAATCATCAAAACTGCAATAGAGTTTATAAGAAAAATTTGAATTGTAATTGAGTGAATAGATAAATGGTTTCATAGTTGGAATGCTTTTTGTGATAGTGAAGCGAGATGATAGAGATAATGAGTATAGTTCTAATGATCATTATTATTATTTACCTTATTTGTATTGTGAATAAGGTGTTAGTTGGTTATGAAGACTCAATGCAAATTATTATTACTACTATTATTACTACTACTACTACTACGTGTGTTTACGCCAAAGCACTGTTTGTATGGAGGAGAGAGAGAGAGAGAGAGAGAGAGAGAGAGAGAGAGAGAGAGAGAGAGCACGTATGAGTGATTTATGGGTGAGTGCATACGTATATAGTGAGGATGTAAAGTCAACAACAACAAATTTCTGCATCTTTATGGTATTATACAATATGACACACAGGACATAGAGTTCTGAACAACACTCATTTATGCGGGTGATTCCTGTTTTTTTCTCTGTAATCAATATTTGCGATATAAAACACACATCATACTGGCTCTATAATGCATCACACAACCAGAAATACCAACGTTACCAAATTAACACGGCCTCAGTCAGTGGTCGTTGCAGAAGCCATCAGAACCAAGGGGTGTAGAATTTTGTTTTGCTGACTCTACATGTGTACGTTTTTGAGTGCGTTGGTGAATGTGTATATAATTTGGACGTGTGGCTATGTTTGAGTGCGTTATTGTACATTAAGTACGTTCCTGTGTGTCCATGGCTGAGTGTGTTTGTGTACTTAAATGCGTTCGTATACGTTTGAGTGCGTTGATTTACGTTGATTGCGTCTGTATACTCAGTATACTCTACCTGTATGCTTGAATGCCTCCGGGATTGTGTATTTTTAAGAGAGTTCTTGACTGTTCATTATTGCGTTAGTTATACTTGTGTGAACGAATTATCAAACGTGCTTGAACGCTCTCATGTGTGTGTGTGTGTGTGTGTGTGTGTGTGTGTGTGTGTGTGTGTGTGTGTGTGTGTATATGTATGTGTGTGTGTGTGTATTATTTAGCCCTGACTGAAGTGTTTTAACTAAATCCCTCAAACTCCATTGTCATACCTCTCCAGCCCCACTACACACCTGTCAGTCGGGGTAGGGGGTCAGGGGGGGGGGTTATGGGAGGTAAAGGCCAGTGTATGCAAATAGTGTCACAATTTTAATGGTTCAATACATAGATAAAATGTGTTAAAAATAAAGGTGTTGTTTTTATTACCCTGTGATTTATTAAGTAGGTGAATATAATGGTTAAGTGAGACAGATAGACAGACAGACAGACAGACAGACAGACAGACAGATAGACAGATAGATACAGAGGGACGTTGTTATGCACTTGAATATTGCATACATAGAGATATACTGTACATGCATGCAGATAAACGGAGATATACAGGTACGAGAGAGAGAGAGAGAGAGAGAGAGAAACAACAACAATAACCTGTCAACTCTCTCCCACAACTCGAGAAAAAACAAAAGATAATCAACCCGAAAAATGCAATTGCTATTAGACTCCACAAACAGCAAATACCGTCTATTGTTTTCAGATTTTATTTGATTTTAAATGTTTTTTTTTTCTGTTGAAGGTGAAGGGAAGTGGAGATGAGGAAGGGAAGTGAGTGAGGATGTGTGGGGGAAATGGGTGAGGAAAGTAGGTGAGGGTTAAGGGTTGAGGGAGTGGGTAAGAGGGAAGTGGATGAGGAGAGTTCACCCATTAAAGACTTCTATTTCAGGGAGCCTTTGTTTTTTGGGAGAAAAGAAACCATAACTCAGGAGAGTTTCCCCAGTAACCCGCCCTTTGGCCTAGGTGGGTGGTGCACCGCTAATGCGAGTGGCAGGGAAAAAAAATAAGAGGAAATTTTGGGACAGAATTAGGGAAAAACTGTGGTAAAATGAACACAATTTAGGGTGGGTTTGTGGGAAGGTTTGTTCCTCAGGTGGCGAATGTGTCTGAGTTATTATTATTATTATTATTATTATTATTATTATTTTTATTATTATTATTATTATCATCGTCTTTGTATACACGAATTCTTTTTTATTTTTTGCTTGCTCTCTTTTCATCGGTTATTTACTTTATCTTTATTGTCTCTGGTTGTAAATAACACACACACACACACACACACACACACACACACACACACACACACACACACCACACGTCAGTGAAGTTGTCAAATCCTCCAGTTTCCGTCTCCACCTCCTCCGCCGACTCAAGTCCCTCGGAGTTCCCGCACACGAGCTCCTCAGTGTATACACAACATTCATACTTCCCAAGCTCACCTATGCCTCCCCCACCTGGTCTTCCTCCCTAAATGCCACACAACGTAAACACCTAGAAAAAGTGCAAAAGAGGGCATGCAAGATTATTCTCTCCCCTTCCTACTCCACATATCAAGAAGCGCTCAACACACTGACCCTTTCGACTCTCACTGACCATCACCACGGCCTCATCTGCAAATTTGGTAAGAAGCTTCTACACCATCCCCGACACCGGCCCCTACTACCACCTGAGATCCCCTGTCCGAGAATTGCTGTTCGACACCACAACCGCATCCAGCCCATACGTGCACGAACTGATCGCTATAAGAACAGCCCAGTCCCAACCATTGTAAAAATTATCAATAACATGTAATAAATCAGTGTATTCACTCCCAGTAAACACTGCTCCCTACACTGTCACTATGTTGAAATGAACTGTAGTTTGAGCTGATCCCCATCTAAGTTACTATATGTCTTATTTGTGTCACTTATGTCACTTGTATATTATTTGTAATTCGTAACCCATTCCCCAAATATGTAACTGTATATTTTCAGCCTTCTGGCTGCCAAGCTCTTCAATAAACCGTTAATTATTATTATTATTATTATTACTTATCAATAACAAATCCTGCACACCAGTCAATAACTTATTCTTTATCCTAAACCACCCAAGTAATCACCCTCCAATCCACCTAACCTCATCTACACACTTTTATCCATCTACCCACCAGCCCACTTACCCACCAACTCACTCACCTATCCAACCACCTATCCACACATTCACACCAGCACCACTTCGATTATGAAAGAAAATAAAACCAAAGCAAAAACAAGAAGTGTTACCAATTCTGAAGTATGACCTCCAAAACATTACCTTTCCCAGACCACGACAATCAAAGATGTCAACCCCCAATCCTCGGTCTCTGATTGGTCGATTCCGTCAACCAACCCCCCTCCTATCCCTCCCACCCAATCATTACTTCGCATACATTACAAAGACAAACGAGAGGCAATCACCGATGATTTTAACGCCACCGGTATTGTTCACCGGGCGCTCGTTCGCCAGGGGTGTGCAATCATCTTGGCGACCTTGGTGGAAGGATTCGTGTTATTATGTTTGATTAATTTTCTCGTATGTTTTCTTCCCCGTTTTCTGTTGGGGATTATCCTAATGTAATTTCAGGGTAAACTTAAGGGGTTTGTTAGTCAATTGTTGTGAGGATTTTGAGAAATGGACTGTTGTAGCGGGTCGAGTGTTAGGTGTTGAGACAGAGCGAGAGAGAGAGAGAGAGAGAGAGAGAGAGAGAGAGAGAGAGAGAGAGAGTTATATTTTCACAAAACGTGCGAGACCTGTTATTTACCAACTCTTGCGACGACTGACCTGTTTATTTTTACGTGATAGAACTTTACTACAATTGTATTACCACACATTTTTTTCTAACGCGTGCACACACACACACACACACACACACACACACACACACACACACACACTGCCCCTACTTATCAATAACAAATCCTGCACACCAGTCAATAACTTATTCTTTATCCTAAACCACCCAAGTAATCACCCTCCAATCCACCTAACCTACTCATCTACACACTTTTATCCATCTACCCACCAGCCCACTTACCCACCAACTCACTCACCTATCCAACCACCCATCCACACATTCACACCAGCACCACTTCGATTATGAAAGAAAATAAAACCAAAGCAAAAACAAGAAGTGTTACCAATTCTGTTACTTGTATATTATTTGTAATTCGTAACCCATTCCCCAAATATGTAACTGTAAATTTTCAGCCTTCTGGCTGCCAAGCTCTTTCAATAAACCGTTAATTATTATTATTATTATTATTTACACACACACACACACACTACTTTGCTGTGTCTCGGAATCACGTACAACGACCATGCAGCTATGATACAATGACATGAGTTATTAAAGATGTCACCTTCGTTGGTGAACTTTGAGGTGACTCGAGAGGCCGATACGGGACCGGCAGGGTCGTCCACAGATGTTGCACGTGTGGAGGGTTACATCACACACACACACACACACACACACACACACACACACACACACACACACACACTCTGATAGGTGTTTCACTGCCCAAGAAATGCATTCACACGCAAATTATAATGCTCTCATAAGCTTGGAAAAAGAAGAAACAGTAGAAAAATGGTCCCAAGGTAACACTATGTATTAGGTAGAGCTAGTAAAGCAAGGTAATACTAGTAGGAGCAAGGTAACACTGGTACAAGCAACGTAACACAAGTAGAAGCAAGGTAACACCGAGAGAAGCAAGGTAACACTGGTAGAAACAAGGTAACACTAGTAGAAGCAAAGTAGCACTAGTCGAAACAAGGTAACACTGGTAGAAGCAAAGTAACACTGGTAGAAGTAAGGTAACTCTAGTAGAAGCAAGGTAACACTAGTAGAAGCAAGGTAACACTAGCAGAAACAAGGTAACACTAGTAGAAGCAAGGTAGAACTAGTAGAAGCAAAGTAACACTGGTAGAAGCAAGGTAACACTGGTAGAAGCAAGGTAACACTAATAGAAGCAAGATAAAACTGGAGAAGCAAGGTAACACTAGTAGAAGCAAGATAACACTGGAGAAGCAAGGTAACACTAGTCGAAACAAGGTAACACTAGCAGAAGCAAGGTAACACCAGTAGAAGCAAAGTAACACTGGTAGAAACAAGGTGACACTGGTAGAAGCAAAGTAACACTGGTAGGAGCAAGGTAACACTGGTAGAAGCAAGGTAACACTAATAGAAGCAAGGTAACACTAGCAGAAACAAGGTAACACTAGTAGAAGCAAGGTAGAACTAGTAGAAGCAAAGTAACACTGGTAGAAGCAAGGTAACACTGGTAGAAGCAAGGTAACACTAGCAGAAGCAAGGTAACACTAGTAGAAGCAAGGTAGAACTAGTAGAAACAAGGTAACACTGGAGAAGCAAGGTAACACTAGTCGAAACAAGGTAACACTAGCAGAAGCAAGGTAACACCAGTAGAAGCAAAGTAACACTGGTAGAAACAAGGTAACACTGGTAGAAGCAAAGTAACACTGGTAGAAGTAAGGTAACTCTAGTAGAAGCAAGGTAACACTAGTAGAAGCAAGGTAACACTAGCAGAAACAAGGTAACACTAGTAGAAGCAAGGTAGAACTAGTAGAAGCAAAGTAACACTGGTAGAAGCAAGGTAACACTGGTAGAAGCAAAGTAACACTGGTAGGAGCAAGGTAACACTGGTAGAAGCAAGGTAACACTAGTAGAAGCAAGAACATAACATAAGAACATAAGAAAATATGGAGTCTGCAATAGGCCGGTTGACTGTGCATGGCAGCTCCTGTCGAGAGTTACTACCACTCTCTATCATCCATGAATCTATCTAGCCTCCTTTTAAAACTTCCCAGCGTTCCAGCACTTACTACAAAGTTACTAAGCTTGTTCCACTCGTCTACCACCTTATTTGTGAACCAGTTCCTTCCTATCTCCCCCTAATCCTGACTTATCCAACTTAAATCCGTTGTTACGAGTCCTATCCTGCTCGGATATTATAAGAACTCTATCTATATCTCCTTTATTGATTCCTTTCAACCACTTAAAAACATCTATCATATCTCCCCGCACTCTTCGTCTTTCTAGGGAATGCAAGTTTAGTTTCTTTAATCTATCTTGATATGGAAGGTTTCTAAGTCCCGGAATCATTTTCGTC